TTAAGTGAAAAGAAAGTATTTTTAGATCGAGATTCCAGAACTGTTCAGAGTGAGCCTTGGGAGGACTGTAATTATCCGGAGCAGGGTCAGCAAGCGCCTTCTGGCAAAGGCCAGACAGTCCGTGCTTCAGGCTCCGGGGGCCACTGGGTCCCTGCAGCAACCATACACTCCTACCCAGGGGGCAAGTGCCCACAGACGGATGGAAGTCCAGTCAGCTGTGCTCGTGGGCACTAACATTTGAATGTTGTACAGTTTTCAAGTGTCACAAATATTAGTGTCTTCTGTGGAATTTTCCCCAGCCACTTAAAGCTGTAAAAAACATTCTTAGCTCGTGGGCCATACTAAAACAGGCTGGCTTTGGCCAAGAGCCACGGTTTGCCAAGCCTTGCCCTGGAGCGCCCAGTGCCTGTATAGCATTAGAATCTAGCAGCCACCAGGTAAGGCAAGAAGCTAGGAGACTGTGGCTATATGGTTAGAGCATCGGCCCATGAACCGAAGGGTTGCGGGTTCGATTCCCAGTCAAGGGCATGTACCAGGGTTGCAGGTTTGATCCCCAGTCCCAGTCAGGGTGCGTATGAGAGGCAACCAATCGATGTTTCTCTCTCTCTCCTCCTTCCTCCCTCCCTCCCACCCTCTCTAAAAAAAAACAAAATCAGTGGAAAAAATACCCTCAGGTGAGGATTAACAACAACAACTAACTAGCTCGGAGTTTGCGGACATTATCTCATTGGAATCCGCACAACCACATGAAGTAACACTGTTATTACTCTCCCCATTTGCCAAATGAGGAAACGAACATGGGTGAGCAAGTTCCTTCGTCTAGGCAACCACTTACTGAATGGCGGAGGCAGGACTGAATTGACCCCTGACCCCAAAGCCCATACATGGCCTCCACCCTGGACGTTGACAGGAGGGAGACGTTCAACAGGGAGAAAATGAGCGACTGCACAAGCCATTATAGAGTCACCTTGTCCATCCCAACCCCTAAGGCAGCGGTTCTCAGACTGTGGGTCGCGACCCCTATGGGGGTCGAACGACCCTTTCACAGGGGTCGCCTAAGACCATCGGAAAACACATCTATAATTACATATTGTTTTTGTGATTAATCACTATGCTTTCATTATGTTCAATTTGTAACAATGAAAATACATCCTGCATATCAGATATTGACATGACGATTCATAACAGTAGCAAAACTACAGTGATGAAGTAGCAACGACAATAATTTTATGGTTGGGGGTCACCACAACATGAGGAACTGTATGAAAGGGTCGCGGCATGAGGAAGGTTGAGAACCACTGCCTTAAGGAAAAACGTTAATGTTGGGGGTGGGGCGGAAGCACAGGGAGAGACCACCATGCAGAGTTCCAGGGCAGGGGTCTCATCACTCACTGTCCCCTCCAGGGTCCCAGCCAGGTGTCTCTGAGAGCATCAATACCCTTTTCGGTTCAAAGCCAAACTGCATCCCTCCTCGCCTCCCCCCCCCCCCCCATCCCTCCTCCGCTGCAGATGGAGCACCATGGAGGCTGCAGGAGCAGATGGGCGCTCTTTCCACAGGAGGGCTGGCTGAGATGGGCCGCCGCTCTCCTCTGCCCGATTCGCGGCTGCGCCCACGGGCAGCTCCTGCCGGCCCGGCCCAGCCACTGGTGTGTCCTGATCCTGGGTGTGAGCCCCTCTACCTCAGTGGTTCGCAACCTTCCTAATGCCGCGACCCTTTCATACAGTTCCTCCTGTTGTGGTGACCCCCAATTTCATTGTTACAAATTGAACATAATGAAAGCATAGTGACGAATCACAGAAACAATATGTAATTATTTATGTGTTTCCTGATGGTCTTAGGCGACCCCTGTGAAAGAGTCGTTCGACCCCCAAAGGGGTCGCAACCCACAGGTTGAGAACCGCTGCTCTACCGGACCGACGTGAGCCCAGCCTTGGAGTGGGTTCTACGTGTGTGTCCACAGCTGTGGGGACCAGAACACGACAAGACTGACTACCCTTGTCTGCTCCCACCCCCTGGAGATGGGAAAGTGCCCACTCAGCAGCTCATGCCGGGAGGACAAAGGTGAAGGGTCCGGGGTGGGTGGGGAGCGACGGGGTTGTGGCGGGCCACGGGGCTAGGGAAGAGAAATGGGACTCGTTCCCAAAGGGACCGTGAAGTTAATCAGGTGAGTCTGGACCCAGGCCAGACACTCCCTCATGGACAACAGAGCAGAACAGGGACTGCAATTAATTAAGTGCTGGGGGAGGTCGTCTTACCCCAGGGAAAGGAGGCCTGGCCGGGGCCTCAGAGGAGGAGGCTGAAGGTGTCCAGCTCCCAGTGCCTGCCCCATTCACCCTGGAAGCTAGAGGGTAGAGTCCCCTCAGCACAGATTCCTGGTTTCCTCTCGCAGGTTTCCCTCCAACCTGTACCCCACCCTCCTCGTTCTCTTATGCAGAGCCTCCCTCCCCAACCTGGAGGAGCAGGAAAGAGGCTAAGAGCCTGGCCTGACGGGATTCGGGATTCGGAAAGCCTGCCTCGGTCTCTCGCTGCCCCAGAGCAGGCGCGGTGCCTGGACTAGGAAATCCCTTTCCAAATAACCAACAGCGGTATGTACAACTACGGGTTGCTTAGCAGCTGCTGCGTGCCAGGAACTGTGTTCCTTCACTCCCTTCGCACAGCAACCCTCCTGATCAAGACCCCCATTTCCCAGATGAGGCAGCCGAGGCTGGGGGAAGCTCAGGCGTTTGCTGGGGAGAGAGGGGTCACACAGCTGGTGTGTGCTGGAGCTGGGCTCCATCCAGCCCCTCCCTTCAGGCTTCAAACTGGAAAAGGACAGAAGGGATCAGGGGAGAGAGAGAGAGAGATGGAGATGCTGGACAAAAGTCCAAATGGGGCATCCCAGGGAAAGGAGAGGTAAGCTTGGGGCAGGAGCTGGGAGGACCCAAGCCAAGCTCCGCCCAGCAGCCTGGAGCCCGTGTGCCTGGGCACAAGAAGGCACAGGTGGGCAGAGGACAGAGTCTGGCTTTGAGAAAACAAATGCAGCTATGAAGGCAGCTCCATCTCCCAGAGGCCCCCAGGGCGAGGGGCGGGGGGAGGGGGGAGCTTCCAAGGCAGGCAGCCGAGCCCGTGAGATCCCAGACCAGGAACCTACTCGTTCCTCAGATCTGGTGCCCTCTCTCCTGCGCCCCACGGAGAGGCCGGCTCTGCCTGGCACAGGACACACGGGAGTCTCTTACTGAGCGCCACCCCCATCCTTCCTTCTCCTGAGGCTGAGGTGGAGCCAGGGAGCTCCAGGTGGGCTGGGATCTCCTCTGATGGGGCAGAGGCTGAGCAGGGAGCCGGGGGTCCCATGGAAGTGGGCTGGGTCCCACCTCTGCGACGTTGGGAAGGTTGGTGTCTCAGAGCAGTTGTGTCATCCCCTGTCATGTGGGGGTGATAACACCTCCTCATAAAGCTGTGTGACACACTGCTTGGCACCGAGTAGATACTCAGTAAATGGTAGCCACTAGAGTAACGCACCGAAGCCTGCTCTAGCTCTGGAAACCCAGTAAATTTGGGGAGTATGAAGGCGGGGAGACTCCCAGGGACCTAATGGGCAGTGTGGTGGCAGCGGTGGGGGGAGGTCAGCCTCCCTGGCTCATCAGCTACACAGGAGGTGGCCAGGGAGGCGCAATCCTAGACAGTAGCTTTGCTGGGTGGCAGGGTGACCCTCTCCAGCCGGCCTTGAGGATACAGACCCAAACCCAGGAGCCCATGTTGCCTCACTTCCCCCCAACCCTAAGCCACTGTGGTCTCAGCCCCCTGCCAAGGCCAGGCTCCAGGCCGGGGACCTGAGAGGACCAGGCAACCCTGTGGGCCAGACTCCCCGGGCGTCTTCGAGGATGTGGCCCTCTCAGGCCAGAGTGCAGGACTGTGCTGCATGCCCAGCCCCCATGGAAAGGGCCACACGAACATGCCGACTCTCACAGGACGCTGACACAGGAGGGGCACGCCAGCGGTGTCCGTGAGTCACCAGGGCCCAGGCCACAGTTGGGCAACGGCTGAGGGCCGGGCTGGGGGTGGGGATCAGGTGCTCAGAACTGACCTCCACTCCTCGCTGCCCCAACTCCCACCCCTGCGGCAGGAAGGGGCTCAGAGAGAATTAGAAAGAGGCCAGTGGTGCCTGTCGGGATGGTGACCCCATCGCACAGAAAATCAGTCTCAACGGTCACTCCCACCGCAGGCCTGCGTCCTCGTCCTCCGCGCGGCATTTCCCACGCCTGATCCTGTCCCCCGCACAGCACAGCCCGCCAGCCCCATCCCTTAGCCCAGCAGGCCGCCCACCCTTTCCCACGGCTCTTAACCCTTCGCCAGTGGCTACCACGCAGGGGGCCACTGCCCCTCTGGGCTCGTGGGTGGGAAGACAGAGGAGGCGGCAATCCCCCGAGGCCGCACTCACCCCTCCCACCACCTCCAGCGCTGGAACCTGCAGAGCCTCCCGCGTCCTTCCACCTTCACCCCCGGGCTCCGTCTCGCCCCCAGCTGCGCTCTAGAAAGTTCCCGGGAGCCCCGAAAGCCCTCGGGGCAGCGATCTGGCCCCACACTCGCCGGTTCCCTCCTCCCCGGAGACGCCTGACCCTTGCCCTCCCCAGAAGGAAGGGCACTTGGAGAGCGCCAGGCTCGCCGCTGAGTGGAAAACTTTGCTTGCCGGGGTTCAGACCAAGCTCGGGGCCCAGGGAGTCCCGATGCAGACTCCGGGTGGTTGGGGTTGGGGGGGATGGGGGGGTACTGAGAATGCAAAATCGCCCTCCTTCCTGAGCTCCTGGGACTTGAGACTGGCCTCTGCGCGGCATCGCCCGCCACCCGCAGCACGCCTCGCGACCCCCCATCTCCCACGCCGCTCCCCCAGGCTCCCCCACCCCCTCGCCCCCAGCAAAGGCAGCGGCGCCTTTAAGAGCTGCCCAGCTCACCTTTGCTCCGTTTCGCCGGCGCCACGGTGCCCCCCACGCCCCTCCTTCCCGGCCCCGCCGGCGGGACTCACCGCGCGTCCTGGGGCCCCGGGGATGGGCGCCGCGCCCCGCGCCCGGTCGGGGTCCCTGCCCCGGCTCGGAGGTGCTGGCCCTGCTCCCGAAAGGTGAGCGGCTCCCCGAGCGGCTGCAACCTGAGCTGGATGGGAGGGTGGAGGGGAGGGGCAGGGAGGAGTGAGGAAGGTGGGGAAGAGGAGGGGGAGGAGGAGGAGGAGGAGGAGGAAGGGAAAGCCCGGCCCCGCTGGAGTTTTTCACGTGTACAAGTTGACTCCTCCCCGTCCCTCCCGGGCTGCACAGCAGCTGCCAATCTCCACGGCTCCCTCTACCCGGGCGCCCACCCCTTTCGCCCACTCTGGGCACCCTGTCCGAGCACCTCTTCCGGTTTGGGTCCCAGGCCTGGGCGCTGCCGGCCCTCCCCCCCGGGGCTGGCCGGAGAGCCTGGACTAAGGGGTGAGACCCTCTGGGCTGGAGCACCCCAGGACGGGTCCCGGGCCCTGGGTGATGTGCTGCAGGGCCCGCCTTTAAAGGCAGCTCTCCCACCTTCTGAGCCCGACCCTGCTCCCAGCACCTGATCGGGAGCGAATGTGCACAGACAGGTCCAGTCCGTCAGTCTGGCTTTTAGAGTTCTTGACAGCAGTAGCCCTGGGGCCCTTCCTCTGCCCTGTCCAGTGGGACTTGTCACTCACCTTTAGGGACAAAGCTCCCACCTGGTCGGCCCCCAAGCTCTAGGGCAGCGGTTCTCAACCTGTGGGTCGCGACCCCTTTGGCGGTCCAATGACCCTTTCACAGGAGTCGCCCAAGACCATCCTGCATATCAGATATTTACATGACGATTCATAACAGTAGCAACATTACAGTTATGAAGTAGCCACGAAAATAATTTTTTTTAATATATTTTATTGATTTTTTTTCAGAGAGGAAGGGAGAGAGATAGAGAGTTAGAAACATCGATGAAAGAGAAACATCGATCAGCTGCCTCCTGCACATCTCCCACTGGGGATGTGCCCGCAACCCAGGTACATGCCCTTGACCGGAATCGAACCTGGGACCCTTCAGTCCTCAGGCCGAGGCTCTATCCACTGAGCCAAACCGGTTTTGGCCACGAAAATAATTTTATGGTTGGGTCACAACATGAGGAACTGTATTTAAAGGCCCAGAAGGTTGAGAACCACGGCTCTAGGGCCTGAAGGAGCCCTGCCAATAGCCATCACCCCCACTTCCTACCCCGGAGGCTCTTTCAGTTTGTCCTTCCAGAATTAAACCCTGCAGGTCCCCTGAGAAGCGTCCAATACTTACAGACCAGCTGGGGCTGGTCCAGCTTTAATTTTACAGAAGGGGAAACGGAGGCCCAGAAAGGGGGTTGAACTGGCCCCAAGCCCCACAAGGAGTTAGTGACGAGCCACGGACCTCGGCCGATGGCCACTCTACCCGCACATCCGACTTCAGGGATCAAAGGAAGACTGAGATGGGGTGACAGGCCAACTGGCCCCCTCGGGGCCCTCCCAGCCCTGCTTCCTCCTGAGGGCTGTGAGGAGAGGGGGGTGGCACCTCAGATCTGATGGGCACCACATCAGGGTCTGTGTCCTCTGCCCTGCCGGTGGGCATGGCCTCTTTGGTTTGGGGGTCCTGGCGGGGGCGCAGGGGAGGTCTCTGGAGAAGAACCCTTTCCTCCAGTAGATCTGAAGTGACCGCCGCCCCTTAGGTCCTAGGCTTTGAGCAGGGCCTTTCCCTGGAGAGAAGGAGTTGTTGAGATTAGAACAATTTCCTGTCCAGAAGACAAGGCCTGCGGTCTCACCCTCAGGCCAGCCATCTGCCCTCCAACAGCAGCGGCAGCACAAGGCCTCTCTAGGCTCCCGGGGAGGGGGGGGGGGGGGGGGGGGGCGTGGCCGGAGGAAGGAAGCAGCTGGGCTCTGCGGGAGGGTGCCCTGCGGGTAGTCCACAGGGGCAACCGCACAGGGGCTCCCCACACTTCGCCACCTCTGTTTGTTCTGCCAGGGCAGGTAGATTTCCTGGGCACACACACTTTATAAAAATAAAACTGCGGAGCCTTAGCTGGTTTGGCTCAGTGATTAGAGCGTCGGCCCACGGACTGAAGGGTCTCAGGTTCGATTCTGGTCCAGGGCACGTACCTGGGTTGCAGGCTGGATCCCAGGCGCTGGTCGGGGCCCGTGTGGGAGGCAACCAATCGATGTGTCTCTCTCACATCGATGTTTCTTTCTCTCTCTCTCCCCCTTCTTTCCACTGTCTCTAAAAATCAATGGAAAAAATATCCTCGGGTGAGGATTAACAAAAAAAATAAATACAATTCATTTTTTAAAAAAATACTGCTGAGTGTGAAGGGGTGTGAAGAGGGATGGATCTGGAACCTCCAGGCTTTGGGGAGAGGTAGCAACAACCTACCTGGTTCTCTAATCCACGTCTGTGATAAGAAGACTGGGGGACAAGGAGGCCGGGCAGAGGCAGGAAAGGGCAGAGAGAGGGGCTGTGGAAAAGGAACTGTGTTTTAGAGGATGAGAGGGAATGGGGCCAAAGACAGAGCCAGGAGGATGGATGAGGTGAACAAGTTTCCACAAAACGTTTCTGAACATCTCTTATCTGCCAACTGATAGACAAGTCTCTGGGTACCAAAGATGAGCGGAAGGCAGTCCCTACTCTCAGGGAGCTCACAGTCTAATCGGGCAGGTAAGTAAACAGTTCTGATGCTGCAGGACCCAGGTTAGAGCTGCGTCTGCCTGGAGGGGTCATTCGCTGCTTGAGTTGAGGCCTATGGGACGAGAGGACCCTGGAGAGGGAGAAGGGTTTTCCGTTTGTTTTTCCAGGAGGTCTCACACTGCCTGCAAAGTGCACGGGCAAGCGAACACGCCCCCACAGCTCTGTGAGGCAAGAGCTGAGAATCAGTAGGGCTGGAGGTGATGCCATAAAGGGAGGCAGATGCTGGTTTCTGAAGACCCTCCTAGTACATGGAGGCTAAGAGCCAGGACCCTGCCTGAGAACACACGGCAACGTGGAGCGTTTCAGAGGAAAGAGATGTCACCAGCCGGTGATTGAGGGCGAGCTCTCCGGCAGCCAAGGGGAGGATTGATGGTGAGGGCAAATCTGGAGAGGAGAACCCCAATTTGGAGGTGAATCTGGTGAAAAATCAATTCTAGGCGTAGACTAGAGCCGTGGCCGGAAGGAGGAGAGGAGGGAACGTGCATTAGAGATAGTTAGGAGACAGGCTCACAGAACTTTGTGCTTGTTGGAGTCTAGAACAGTGGTTCTCAACCGTCTGGCCCTTTAAATACAGTTCCTCATGTTGTGACCCAACCATAAAATTATTTTCGTTGCTACTTCATAACTGTAATGTTGGTACTGTTATGAATCGTAATGTAAATATCTGATATGCAGTATGGTTTTGGCGACCCCTGTGAAAGGGTCGTTCGACCGCCAAAGGGGTCGCGGCCCACAGGTTGAGAACCGCTGGTCTAGAAGCTAAGGGAGAGAAGAGTGTCAAGGTTGGACCCATTGGTATGACAGGCCAGGCTGGGAGCCTCGTAGGGATGCCCTGAGTCCCAGAACCTCCTTGTACTGGCTGTGTGGCCTTGGGCAGGTAAGTGACTTAGCCTTTCTGAGCCCAGTTTTGCCATTTGTAAAACAAAGTTACTAAAATTGATCTTGTACCTTAAGAGTAATGTACCCCAAAGCATAGGGCTTGGGTCATCATAGAAACTCAATAAAATAAAAAAATAGATGCAATTACCATTGTTTGCCCATTCAACAAACATTCATTGAGCACCTGCTGTATGTGCCGGACCCCTGAGATACAGGGATGATTTTAAGTCTCATTCCCTGTTCTCAAGCAGGTCACCATCCTGAGGGAGAGGGACAGTCACATAGCAAGGCTGGGGCAGAGGAACAATCCCAAGAAAATCAGGGGCAATTTCACAGAGGCAAGGTGACAGCTTCAACAACGTAGGGCCAACCACCTGCTCAGGGACAGTCGCTTCCTCCCCCGCCCCTGGCACAGGATGGTGTTTCAGAATCTCTGAGATCTTCCGTTTTCAAGGCATTATCTCGCTCCTTGGGGCCAGGGTAAGAGGATGGGCAGCAGATGGGTGTCTATAAGGAGCCCATAGAATGGCAGGCGAAACGTTGGCAGCCCCAGGGAAGGTGTATGAGCAGATGGGCAGGTAGAAAAGGGCACCAGGTAAGGGAGACTCTGGACAGGTGGGCAGAGCCGACTGGCTGGATAGGGAGTCCCTGTGTGCGCACTGTCTGAGCCATCCTGGTTTGTCTGTGCCCTTCTAAAAATTCCCTCTGAACCCCTTGGTGTCCTCGCCCTCCTCCCATGCCCCCCCCCACCCCCATAGGTCTGTCAGCAAGCTCACTCAGTAGTTGCAGCGCAACGTGGGTCTCCCACTCAGGAGGGACTCCTGTCCTGCTGCCCCGCCGAGCAAGACCTCGCGCTTTAAAACCACGTTAAAGCCACGTGGACCCCGTGACCCAGACCAGTGACTCACATCTCTGGGTTCCCATCTGTAACACAGAGATGGTAACAGTCCTGCTCTCATGAGGCTGTTGCGAGGTTTCAATGAGATGGACGCTTGCGCCCAACCCATGCTTGTTTCCCTTCTCTGCAGCCCAGTGACTGCCTCTGCAGCTAGGACAGGCGTCCCTGGGCGCCTGAGGACTGAGCGGGGAAGCTGGGAACAGCTCTCGCTCACAGATCGGCTCACAGATCGTGTGGGCAGTGTATGGGAATAGCTTCTGAAAAACCAAATTCAAGCCTGCCCCACTTTCCCCTGGGAGGCACAGCATGCAGACAGGGAGAGTTCAGCAAACAGTTATCTCCTTTCTGCCCATCACCACGGGCTCTTCTTTCTGGCCCTCCCACACCCATGCAATGCAGGCACACCTTGCGGGGACACTCGACTCTGCCCATAAGGTACAGGAGCCATTTCATTCCTCTGGGCCTCAGTTTTCCTCCTCTGCACAATGGGAATGCTGGGAATGCCTTCCTCTCAGGCATGGGAGTGTGAATGTGAAAGTAAGCTGTAAAGATCTGCATGTGCATGAGATCATTAGTGTTGGGCCAGAGGGGGACAGGTAAAGATAAGAGAAATGAGAAACTAAGTAAGAACAAAGTGAAATTCTCTCCAGAGCAGCCCAGCCGGCCAGCCAGCATGGCTCATGAACC